GTACACTTTCTTTTAAGCTCAAACATCCAGAGCTTAAAAGAAAGTGTACCTTACTAAATAAACCTTGCTGATATTACACTCTTTGGGCTTTAGGCCAAAACAAGCACATATAAGGAAAACATCATTTTGGGTACCACATTGTTTTATAATCTTAACCCTTTGACCCCTAAGACTGATTGGCATCTAACTTCTCCTTACAATATCACCCCTGAATTCAATATTAAGGAAACAAGAATTAAGACAATGATCACCAACTAAAGAAGCTCTTGATTATTTAACAAGTTCTCCTTGTGAGCAACTTAGGAAACATGTAGAGAACAGTATGGAGAATATGCATTCTGATTTTAGGGAGTAAAGGGCTAGCAGTATCACTACAAAAATATGTGCAAAACAAACAAGCAAATAAACAAACAAACCTGAACGGTAAGAAACCCCCTACAACCATCCTCACCAATGTGCTACGATACCTGGAAGAAAGGAAATGATCAAATCTGTAATTCTCCTTACTGTAAACCATACAATTCTTATAATGTTAGTTCAAAGAATTTATTATTGAATAAATTAAATATCCGCAGATTGATATTTTTCTCTGTTCTCAGCACTCATCTGGTTGATATTGTTTTGATATCGTAAGGAGAAATTCTGTCTTGGTCTCTCATGGGAGTTAAAGGGTTAACTATCTACACAAGGAGTAAAACACCATAAGGAATGTAAAAGAGGACAAAAGCTATGTCATAATGTTAGGTTAAATACTTAAGACAGACTTAAGTCCTACAAAATGCTGTACCAAAAAAAATTTTGGATGCAAAGTTACTGGAAGCTCACAAAAAAATTCAAAACAAATTTAAGCAAATTATTAAACAAAGAAAACTGTCAAGAAAACTGTAAGAAATAGCAGATAAGCATGATGCAGCTCTTGATGAATCCAATTTGGCTCACATTCACAATTAAGGACAAGCGAGCTAAGGGAAATGATCTTATGGGAAATGGTCCTTATTAAAAAGAATAACTGATTGAAGTGTTACCATGGTATCTGAGGAATCTCTCTGGGAATGTTCTTAGTTCTGCATGGGGCATTGAAGCTTCCTGCCCAGTTCTTGCCAAATATCCCACCGAGAATGGTTAACGGGAAACCAACTTTAAGAAAAGCAATCCAATCATAGAACATTCATCTACAGGTAATTACAAATTTCTTATACATTGAGTAACATTCTAAACAACTAATGCATATTTTTCCATAAAAGTGTAACTATCACAGGGAAAAGCAGTCAAGCAGTCAGTTGAACTGTTTTGATTTGGGAAAACTTGGATCTTAGTTCTTGACAACAAGTCAGCAACACTCATAATTTTCATTGGAAACAACTGTAAGCAACAATAAACACAATACATCTATGGTTGACAACAGTGCTGAGAGACCAGGACCTAAAACAAACGTATGTTTGGTTCCTCTTTCAGACAATTTCCAAACAGACACTTGAAGGACAAGGAAAGTGATCAGAATCAAAATTAAGCAAGGGAAGGAATGGGAAAGAAAGGGTACCCAATCCTGAAGCACTGGCTATTTAACTAGGCAAAGCTGAAGGATAAAAGGGGCAAGTTTCTAAAGAAACTGTGGTGCTTCGTTGGTGGAGGAGTATAACAGGTTATTAATTTAGTGTTATCAACTGAGTAACAAATAATGCTCAAAACATCAGCTTTTGAACTCCTTACGGTGGCCAATTTACGTTATCAACTCAAGCGATAATACAATATTAAAGCTGTAAATAATAGTTGTCTCGACCTGGAATAAATGTGACCTTCCATGGGAAAACGGAAACTAACACTTTGCTGTTAAACAGCCTAGAAAAACAGTTTTAAACAGATACTAAATGGCTAACTCAGGCATTTAAACAGTTTCCATAACTGCTTAAATGGATGGAAAAAAATTTAAACGGTTGACCAAAGTCCAAAAACGGATAGCTTAGGCCTTCAAACAATTAATTTGTAATTGATCTTTGATGGCTTGTGTGTATGTGTGTTTTTTAAGGCAGGGTATTTTAAGATTTCTGGAAAACATTGCAAGAGTAGAGGGTGGGATCAGACACTGGAAGACAAGGGGCAAGAATAAAATGGGAGAAGGGCAAACTTTTTCTAAAGCGTCAGTGTAGAGTGTGCGTGTCTTGAATATGAGAACTAACCAATGAGCCAGATGAGCATCAGGAGAATTATAGTGGTGTATGGAAGAGCTTGCGTGGACTGATAATACCAGGCCGTTGAGTTGATGACACTCCAGATCATAAAGAATGGCACTAAAGGAAAAGAAGTACAGTATATTAGCAGTAACTTACTATCTTCAACAGTATGTTTCAATTATCTGGGCAAATTGTAAAATTGAATCAAATCACATGACTTAGTTTTGAAACATGTGGACAGTCCATATAAAAAACCTACCTGAAAAAATACTGGTTGTCAAGACAACGTTCCACACCCAGTTGGTTCCACCAATTTTTCTATAAAAGTTACTAGATACATAGCCTGAAATGCCTAAAAGAAGAAAAAAAATCTTTTGAGTGACCAAATTGATTCCTCTGGCGACTGGAAAAAAATTAATAGTCCCAAATAGAAACCCTTGATGTGACAACAGACTAGATCAAACCCAGGACAATGGTCAGAGGGCAGAATTCTAATCACTACTGACAGTATAACTGCTTTGACTTATACCATAGATTTACCCTAAAAAAAGTTTGATGCAAAAAGTTCCTAAAGTTTTGACAAATGCCTTCAATTGATAAAGATATTTTTTTTTTTTGATATTTTGAAGTCATATGTATGAAGGTATGAAGTCATATGTACAGTAAATATGTGAAGTTCAAGCATCCATCTTTGATATTTGACTAACTCGTGAGTTAGTATAACTAAATAAAATGTAAGAAAACTTTTTAGGTGAAAGAACACTTACAGCAGGTCAGGGCATACAACAAAACACCTGCTGTGTTCATTGATCCATGTCTGAAAGTCAAATCACAAATCTGTTCATCACTGATTTCATTATTTTCAGCATTTAAGAAAGCATCTTTATACAATATTTAAAATCCTAACAGCACATCCAACTAATTTCATCATAACATTCAACAAGAGCAGAGAAATTATATCAAGGACACCGTAAGAGTTCAAAGGAACAAACTGGCAACTTTGTTAACCCTTTAACTCCCAAGATCTGATTTTCAATTCTCCCCTCTAGCTTCTACACATTTCCTTGTAAATTGATTGCAAGAATTTGGTGTTCAATCAAGGTAATAACTTGTACCTGATGAGTTTGAGAATTCTCACTACCTGTTTGCTGTATAATGTATGGATAATATAGGGAGAAGTTACATGGTAATCACTGCTGGTTGTTAAAGGTTTAATGCCTTTCACTCCCAAGATCTCAAGTAATTCTCCTTACTGTCTAGCAAAGAATGCTTATGATTTTAGTTCAGAGAATTTGTTATTAGATCAGCTAATGATCCCCTATTCACTTGTCTGCTTGATATTGTATTGACACTGCAAGGAGAAATTCTCTGTTGGTCACTCATGGGAGTTAAAGTGTTAAGTGTGCACAATAAAAATAACCAATTCACAACTGGTTTCACTTTTGTTATTGTATCTCTTGAGAGGGTGGTGCATTCACAGTGTGTAGTGAAGTAAAGGGAAAGCTATCACTCCTACCTGTGAACATTAAACAAGCCCAACAAAGCCAAAAATATGATACCAAAGCAGAGTGTGAGGAACTGGGATCCTGCACCTATGAAGCAACAGATAAGCTAAAGTAAGCACCTCAGTTAAGTACATGACCCTACTTATGTACATTAACCATGCCCAGGAAGGCCATCATCAGGATGAACACTCAGCATGATGAATCGAGAGCCAGTACCTAGACAGTCACAAAAAGTTCCCAAAAGCACAAGGTAATTTTCATGACACTTTGAATGAGTGGTTAAGATCTCAGGTTGTTCTATTCAGAGAGGGAATCAAGAAAAATAACTTACCAAGGATGGCACAGAGCCAGCTTTTGTATGGTGGAAAACGGAAAACATCTGCATGAATAATCTTCCAACCCACTTCATCATGATCTGCAATAGAATAACATAAACTCACTTTTAAAACAAAGTGATCTTCTCCTATTGAGCCAAAGTTTTGACCTGTTAATTTCTCTTTACAATCTATCCTTTGACTCAAATGTTTAAGTCACGAGAATAAAGGAAATGATCAGCAACCAACAAAGCTCTTGATGGTTTAACAAATTCTCCTTGTTAGAATCTAGGAAATGTATAGATAACAGTATGGAGTATACGCATAATGATGTTGGGGTGTAAAAGGTTCAACCAGTTTAAACCCTTTCTCTTTTTCATTATTTTATCTTTCTTGTTTACATCTTGAAAATATTATTGATCATGTAATAAAGGCATTTCTACCATTCAAGTTCTGTAGCTTTCATTTGTCTGATTAAAAAAAAGACTGTTAGAAATATTTTCCAGTCTGTTACTGTATCAAGAATACACTGAAAGTCAATCAGATGTAAAATAACCTATCTGCGCACAGCACTAATATGGTAACCTTTAATTTATAATTTATTTGTCATTTTGTGGTTTTGCTTGCATAAAGATCCTGATCTTTTAAATGATAAGTACTACAGTCAACACCAAAAAGCTTTTTAATTCAAAGTTCTTTAAGCCTAACAGTAGCTACATGTATAATATTGAGTCCAAAAAGAGAATCTTCAAGGAAAAAAGTATTAACCAAGAGTAACAAAAGTAGTTATAGCTCTTAGGGTTAGCATTGTATTTGACCTTAAATTTACACATGTCTACATGTTGGTGTCCTGTGCAACTCATACAGAAAGGATAAACTGCATGGAGATTTTAAGACAAATGCACCATTTTGCTGTCCGTGTCGTACAACAATCCAAGACCAGGTATACAAGCCAAGGATCAAACAAAACACGGTCCAAAAGAGAAGCAGAGTGAATGTGTTACAAATGTACAAGATGTTTAACTCTAAAACAGGGGTGTAGGTACAGTACTACTCAAAAGTACCTGTAAGTTGCCAGTCTCGACTTGAAACTCCATCCTTGATACTTGAATCTCTCCAGAATTAAGGATTCAAAATCAAGGCAGGAGTATCAATTATAGATATATGCTTCTCACCTATGTCATCCATTTCTTCATCATCAGATACATTATACTTTGCAAAGTCACTCTTGAGTACTCGCATCTAATGAAGAGAACAGTCAAGTGATAAGATCAAAAATCTCTGAAAGATGATCATGTAGTTCATTACATCCACCCTGTAGTATTTTATGGCACACAATTGCAAGTCACCATGGCAACCCAATGGGTTGCAATTTGCCTGTCATTTTTGCTACCTATACTGTAATTATAAACCTAAGAAATTCAACATAGTTCTGCTTACCAGGATGATAACTACAAATCCTATCAACAAGAAGACCAGCACTACAGAGTTGATAATTGACAGCCAGTGAATCTGAAAATCAAGTGATTATAGTAAACTTATAAAAAAACATTTCCCTCATATTGCATACTTCACTATGCATCAGCTTTCAGTCTCAAGCCTGAAAACTGAGATCTGTGGTGTATGTAGAACCAGCCAAGAATCAATAATATGTTACTGTTTTGTAATCTGACACAATCAGTAGCTATATATGAGCAGATCATTATTTGTAATTAGGTTGTGACAGAGGTAAAAAAAGGTGAATAAACACAGGGTACAACCCTTACTGTCTACATTTCCTTTATCTAAAACTACATGATGAACTCTCAATGATCTATTCTCTTACCTCCAGGCTCTTAGGAAAAAAGCTTCCAGCCCCTTTGATTTTCAGTCTCTCTGAGTATGGAGAGCTTTCCAACAAAATACAAAACCAGAAATTCTTTAATAAATAAATCAACTTCTGCAAGAAGCTTCACGAAACTAAAAGAACAGTCCACGAAAAATACCCACAAACTGAGTAGGCCATGGAGTCAAACAAAGAAAGTGTTCACCCTTTGTGAAATAGTACTGAATGATGTAAAACTTCTCTTCCCATTATCAAAGTAATGATAAATTGAAAAGGAAAAAAGTGATGCAGATATAGAAAAACTTATAATTATTGCCTTAATGTGACACCAAATTCTCACACCAGCACAGCAGAAATGTCCCCTTACCACAAAGAGAATTTGTCTCAATCCACTATTAATCCTTTAAATCCTAAGAGTAACTAGCATCTAATTTCTCCCTACAATATCAGCCCTGAATCACTCATTAAGGTTATGAGAATAAAGAAAATGATCATGAACAAAAGAAACTTTTGATCAATAAACAAATTCTCCTTGTCAGCACCAAAAAAATGTATTGAGAACAGTATGGAGAATATGCATGCTGATCTTAGGGTGTAAAGAGTTAATACTTACTCAGTTGAGCTCCACAGGACACTGTACGTGAACTCTACATTGTATGGCAACTCAATGTCATCCAGAGCTACTGGTTGATGATTTGCTGTACTTACATTTGCTGAAATAATCTGAAAAAAAATATTGAATGCACATTCATCACTATATAGGCAAGACACCTGACACTTATGATTTCTGTGCAAATATGAGCTTACCTGATCCCCATTAAATTCTATGTTAAAGTTCAAATGAGCCCAGAGGTAAACTTTGTGAGTGTGAGGCAAGAAGCCTCCTTCTTCCAAGTGACCAATAAAGCCCCGCAGAGGAAGATCATCTGTGGGAGAAAAGAATAATGAAACCAATATCTATTTCATTACTGATTTCTTCTCTGTTATGATTAACTACGATTCTTTGTCAGGAAGTTAAAAAAAAGAAAAGCAGCCTCACCTAAAACAAATTCAAAGTAATACAAATCTTCAATGGCCTCTTGTAACTGCTGAACTTCTCTTTCCTTGAGTGTAACGGTACAAAGCTTTACATTTTCTTTTTGCTCTAGAGATGAATTCAAAACAAAACTCAGTTTTGAGCAAAGTTAACCCTATACACCCTAACATCGGTATGTATAAATGGCTAAGAATATATGAAAGTCATATGTTTGAGGTTGTAGATAAAGACGTGAATATGAAAGTGATCCTTGCAGTAATGTACACTACTTGAGCAGTAGTGAAAATAAGGCCTGAAAAAAATTCAGGCTTGTACAGGATTTGAACCCATGACCTCTGCAATACTGGTGCACCAGTTTAGTTGGTGATCATCTCCTTTTTTCTCATAAAACTAATGCTTGATGTAGGAGTGAATCTTATTGTGAGAGGAAGTTAGATGCTAGTCATTTTTAGGGGTTAAAGTGTTAAATCCCATAAACTTGGTGGTTACTGCTGGAGCTCAGCCAAGTTTTCATAGCATAAACTAACAGGAGCCATATTGACTTGTAAATGCTGCACATATATCTGATCATATATCTTGAACCTCATCACTATGATGGGTATTGAGCATTTTCCATAGTTCAGCAATGTGGCCCACGGGGTAATGATCTCTAACAACCAGCTCTTTAACAAAGCTCCATTCAATTCTGCATTTTTGACAACAATTTTTGACATTGCGTTTTTCACGGCCATCAATCATCTTAATGGACCTATTAGGAAACAACTTTAATGGGTTCAAAAGGTCATGGTTTGTGATTTGTGATTGGTGGATTTCAATCCGTTTTGTGTGTTTCTGTGTTTCAAGGTGCGTTGCTTGTGATCGTAATTATGATTGACGGCAGCAAAAAACACAATTGTGAATGCAGCTTTTGAACTTTAGAGTTCGCATGTTTGTGAAAAGTGCAGTAGAGATCGCCAAGTGCATTCACCACACTTGGTTGAGCATGAGACGTACATGTGCAGTAGAGCATGACTGAAACGTGACTTTAGAATGAACTTTAAACGTGTGATAAAATATACTTTCCACACACTGTTTTAGCTTGCAATTTCTGCACTAAAATAAAACTCTTTGTGTGTACTTCCTTTTGAGTTTTTCCCCTAAACTTTGAAGGGGACAAATTGTCCACTTGCCCGCTTTTTTAAGGGACAATTCAAATTGCAGTGTGGGATTGGTGCAATAGTGTGGCCTGGCTCAAACCCAGTCTGATTATGCCCCCATCTGCAGTATTAAATCTTGGAAGGCCTCAATGCGAAGGAAGCACTTACTACTCCTGAATGGTATGCTTTTCCACCTTAAGTTGCCCCTTGCATTTCGCCAGATGTCACTTACTGATAAAGATCGATGCCTTCAAGGCAGTAAATTTGGCCTAACTTGATTGAATCAAGCAATTTATCATGCTATCTGAGACAAACCACACTTCCTGCCAAAATTGAATGACGGTTGTGGAGAAACTGACGTTCACTTTTACCACATTGAGTTAAAATTGTGTACCTTTGAAGTTGATTTGATGTAAGGCAACAGCCATTCTGTCGCCATCTAAAACTTCTCCCAACGTTAAACTACGATGCTCTACCTAAATACAACAAGAAAATCTTTAAAATAACAAGAAACAGACTACAGCGCATAACTCTAGAATTTATACTCTTCAGAATGGCTTTACCGACGCTTAATCACGCTTCATATGTTCATCTGTGTTCTATAAAGCACCAGAACTACTCCGATCGTACGCATTTAACAGGCATCTATTGGAAAAAGTAACTCAAACCATGATCTCTATATTAAAGGAAAACAATAATTAATTTCAAAATGTTACCTTTTCAGGTCTACAGACTGGCAGGGAATAGTAATGATACGTCTCTTGTGGGTTGAAGTACGGACCAACTTTGTTTACATACAGTGGAACCTTGAAAACACAGATTACTTTAAAATTTGATTCTTCACAAATTGCGAGACGTAAACTAACTGTATACCTTTTCTCCGCCCTTGTAACTCGCTGCATGGCTGCAAAATGGAGCTGATAAAATACTTAGTATACAGAAGCAGAAAATATTGAGAGTCGCCATGTTGGTACTAAACTTGCAAGGAGACATGGGAGAAAATGAGACGTGGC